ATAGAAAAACCGCGTCTCCACTTACAGAATGCCGAATGGCCAATTTAACGGGTACGAGCAAAGCCGCCGGTAAGATTATCGATCGCGAAACTTTGTTCTGAAATAATTATCGCGAATCATTGTGCTCTAATAATTATACGCAGCGATGCAATCTGCTTGTTATTCTCGATATCGCGCCGTCTCCTCCTCCATAAACATTTCGTAAGATCTCTATAATTGTAAAGACCTTCACACGCCTGTCGACATACAGACAACGGATTTTTCCAAGCCATTATATCCGGCATTCTCTATGATGATAGCTGAGAACGTTTCTGCTTGACATTTAGTCTTCGTTTGCTCAAAGGTTGTTTATTCTGCATTAATCCTGCGTATAAAGTACACTTGTGAGCATTCTGCATGCGTGAATGCAAGCTGTTTCGTCTTAAAATCACGCAGCCGCTCCGGCTTGCATATTTATCGCACAGTTCAAGCAGGATTTTTGGCGTACAAACGCTAAAATCGATTACGCGCACGAAATGTACAATTTTTTCCTGTACATGCGGGATGTGCATCGGCCGTTACATATTTGGTCCGCGGCGCGTGTGTTTCAAGTTCGTTTGTTTTAATCTTATCTGCTTACTATTGCAGTTGACTTTGTGAGTACAAAGAGTTCCTTCACTGCTAAATTTATACATTTTAACACAAATTGTAGTTGAAAAGCAACTGTATTTTATATTCAAGGAAATACATAATAATTGAGGTCGTGATATTATAGAAATATAGAGCAAACGAATTGAATTTAAATCTCATCTATGTGAATCAGCAAATTGCTAACGTAGAGCGTAAGCATGAAATCGTACGTTTCGCAAGAAAACCGAGCGTGGTTATTTCTTTATTATCAGAGGGACGTATTAAGTTATTTTCCAGTGTTGCACCAGAGTATCGAAGTTCACAGTCAAGATACGATCCGATATCGCGGTATCTTAAAAATCTCTTCTGATTTACTTCCTGCACCTTTCGCTTGTACGTACTACAGTTGCGTGCGGCTGAACGCAAAAAAAAAAAAACTAATCAGCTTGTGTGTCAACTAGCGCTATTCAATACCACTCCACTTACAGATCAAACGTTCAAGTTTAAGCAACAGCAATTTGAATAACGACGCGGTAATAAATCGACCTACTTAGGAGAATGCATTAGCTGCAGTAAAATTATGCAATACGAACTTCAAAGGTACAGAACTTGCTTAGTGAATACAAAGCAAGATTAATGTACTCATTTGTTCGCTTGATTTTCATATTAGAAATCAGAGACTGCTTGTAATATTACAATATTACAACGTTTATCGATTGTAAATAACGTGTATTAAAAAAGTGCTATTCTGAAATTATTGTGATGTCGATACTTAAGCGTTCCACAAACGTTCACGGTAATCTTCAAAAACATTTGCTTACAATAATCTAATTAAATCATTGTTTCAGCTGTTGCTTGCAAATAACATAAATGTGTAGAAAACCGTTTACAACTTTCAAACTTAATATTGTGACATTGATACACTTATTATAAGCAAATGTGTTTGAAGATTAGCGTCCCGACAATTTTCAACACTAATCTTCAAAAACATTTGCTTACAATAATCTAATTATCTTCGTCTTACCCAGCAGTACGACTACATTCGCAAATGGATATAGTTGATATGTATTTTTATGTTAATATAAAATATATTAAAAAATTGACAGAGAGAGAGAGAGAGAGAGGGGGGGGAGGGAGAGAGAGAGAGAGACAAAGGTGTTGTAACGACAGAAAAACTATGAGAGAGTCGATAAAACAATGAATATCAGATATGAAATATTACGAAGAAATTTAATCAGTCGTCCGTTTCTTACGCGAATACAAATTACGAATTTCAATGGCAATGCCGAGCGATTATTTCTCGATGAGAAACATATGATATATCGCATTTTATAATAAAAATCTTGTTGAGCATAGAGAAACTAGGTAGTTTAGCGAGTCCGAAAGAAATGGAGAGCGCTCGCTTATCAGACTCGCATTCCCAAAGGTACGCATATACAAGTGTGGGGTTTCGATTTCTGCGGTTTTCACTCTCGATCGGAAAGTGTCGCTTCCACAAGAGGAGTAAAAGTCACGGGACCCCGGCGGTAAAAACAGGTGTGGAGACGCATACTATAGCTGGTCAAGCCGAGAAAGTCAAGAGCGCGAATGTTGCCGGTGTGCTCCAAGGAGGTATCTCTCGCGCAGCCTGTTAGCCTACTTACGCGGCGTTAGTGGCGGCTCGAAAATTCGTGGCGAGACGAGACCGGTCTCGTCGATTCAGTAATATTGATCGCCGATAGATCTCCTCGGCGAAAAAAAAAAGAAGCGCGGCGTCGTCGGCCGCTCTCGGCTACAGTGACTCCGATTTACCTAAGTCTTGCATAATGCGATCAGCCGTCCCCGGATTGGCGTCGCGTCACGCCGGCGGCCGATCATCGACGGCGAAATTTCGAAGACCCGCTTCTTCCACTGCGCTTTCGATCCGAGAAAGTCGCGATTTCGCACGTACGCCACGGCTCGAAAATCGCCACTGTGATTTCTCGTGAATACACCGAGCGCAAGTGGCAACTGCCGGACGAGATATTAAAGGTAAGGCTTTTCTCGATTCGATTTAAAGGGCTTTTCGGTTTTGCATTCCCACGTCCGGTTACCGCCTGTGGAAATGTACCGAGCGAATCAAGGACATTTAAACATGTAAATTCAATTCAATATAATCAGAATCGATAAGATTTTAAACAGGCAATAAATTGACGTAACGCAATAACGAAACTTTCTGCAGAGATGCCAAAAGTAAGGTAATACTAATCTGCAAAAAATTACAAAAAAAAGTTGCATTTTACATACAGAGAGACATCGTAATTCACTTTAACTTGTTGGTTTCCGAAAGTAACATTTGATAAGGCAAAGTTTATTTAAGAGTTAATAAGGAACAGCATTGTTCATTGTGTTGAAACTATAGAGTGAACCTTTATTTTCAATTGACTTAAAACTCGATAAATCAATATTGATCTGTAAAAACCATAAGACTTTCGTCCTTGACTTAAAGAGAGAATTTGATAAAGATTCATTTGCAATTCGTCCTACGTGCCGGAGGCAATAAATGGTTTAAAAAATGCAATTTTTTTTGTAATTTTATAAACACTGGAAGCGTTTGTTTCGCACGTGTAAACATAAAATACCTAAAATCGCCCGTAGACGAATTTAATCGTTTCTCTGCAATTAATTTGAATAGATTTCTTAGTGCATACGTGAAGACGTAATGATGAAAGGCATGATAAAAAAAACTTGTGTAAACTCCTTCGGCTCACAGAAGAGAATCCAAATAAGAGGTGAAAACTTCCGCCTTGAAATACGTCTTCGAAGGACGCCGAAACAAAAGATACCCTCACGTGAATTTCTGCGCATATGAACACATTTATATATTTTGCATATCCATACGTGGAAAATGTGTATGTGTTCTACATGGGTCTAAATTCATATAGGAAGGCATCAATAATTCCTAGTGTACAACGTACACTAGGCATCACTGCGTATGCAATGTATATGTATAAATGTGTTGATAGGTACACAAATTTATGTGGAAAGGCATCGGTGATTCCTAGTGCACTTGCTTCATTATTTTCGAGAACGTGCGTATTTCTCGAATGTTTACGTTCTCCTGACTCTTTATTAACTTTCTCAGCCTTTTTGACATTTCAATTAATTTGACTAGTGATTAATACATAATTGAGTCCGTAAGATTTTTGGTTAAATAGACGTCATCAAATTAATAGGATAAAAAGATATCATTGTATAAAAACTTCTGGTTAGATAACACAATTAGTTAACATTTTAAATAACGTAATACTACAATATTCATTTAAATACTATTATTTAATCAGAAATCTGATCGAATCACGTTAGTTATACGCATATTCGTGTTAGAAAATTATTCTCGGAGATGTAATTTTTTAGTGTAAGAATAAATTTAACGTAAAATGTATTTGTTTTCTCTCTCTCTCTCTCTATTTCTCTTCAACATTTGGATATACTAGTCTCATTTCAAGTGCAGAAAGTGCAACATAGTGCAGCCACGAAGAGCACACCTGCGGATCGTCCAAGCTCTTGAGCGCGTTCGAATTGTAACGCGCGCATGCGTACGACCAATGACGCGCCTCACTTTCCTAGTCAACGCAGTCTCTAAAAGCACGCAGGAATTAGGCATCCGTCTTTCGTGCGCGATTCTCGTCGCAGAGACGCCGCGGAAAAACTGTTGGCGCGGTCGCGCGCGCGCGCGCGCGCCCTTCGCAATGATCTCCGTTCCTAAACGCGCTCGGCCGAGAGGTCGTCGCTCGTTTGACACCTCGGTACGTCACTAGCAGACGATCCATACGGCGTCTGCTAGGACCAGCTGACAGGCGTACGCCGGAGCCAGAGCGTGTCGCTTTAAATATCCCCGGGTCACCGCACGTGGATCCTACTCGCGTGGGCAACGAAATGCCCCGACGCGATTCACCTCCCGCGAGAATCCCCGAGTTTCACCTCGAGCTTCACCTCGCGAGGACACGGGGAGCCGGGTTTAGCACCTGACCCAGATGTTATGTAATTTTTCACCACGACGAGTTCTCGCGCGGATCGCTCGAAACGCGGCCCTCGAGTCGCCCGACGAGGTGCCGCCGCGAAACATCGTCGAAACTGTCCGTCTCCGACTCCGCGGTCGGCGTCGCGTCGGCTCAAATCATATGACCACAGAACGACGGCGGTTAGGTGTCACCGCCGAACGTAGGTTAGGTCGGCGGCGACGGTCGAGCGTCAGGAGCGTGAAAATCGCCGAAAACTGAATGGAACGGCGCGTTTTCTCTGGCGCGTCGCCCCGACGGACCGTCGGCCGGACGGACCGACGCTCCAGACGGACGTCGGGGACGCGGGACGATTTGAAACGGCGCCTACTTTTGCGCGGGGGCGAAGTTCGTTCTCGGCGACGGACTTACCTGGCAGTGCTGCAGCAGCGCGCCGCCCGTCCGGGAGATCGCTGGCCGCGACTTGACACATGCCGTGGTCGAAACTCTCCTCCGCAACTGGGCGACATGTCCGAACTGGCACAGTCTCTCCACACGAGCACAAAGCCTACTCGATCCTATACATGCCATCGCGCGGACTATAGTGAGGGGACTCACTACCGTCCGAGTGGCCCGTACCTCTCGTACGGCTCTATTCACTCGCCGTCCCACCACACTTCGAAAAATTGCAACCCTCCCCTCAGCCGTCGGCTCGCGCGTGTCCGTCGTCTCCCCCCTCCCCTCCCGGCCCGCCGCCACGGTGCTCGCTAAACCCGCGAATGAGAGCGGCTCGCGCCGCTTTAGATGAGTCTCTATGCGCCCTCCGTCAGCCACGTGCCAGGCCGCATGCGCGCGTCCGCGCGCCGTCCAATGCCACACGCTTGTCGTAGCTGCGCCCCTCGGGAACTTTCTACATTTGAATTTGGGCCCGAGCAGAAAGATTGTCGTAACCGTTTGCGATTCTGTCGTAAGACTTAAGTCGGTGTCAGAATTGTCAACGCACAAAGAATTATCGTAATTGTCGCATTCGTCGCATCGCAAGGCGACTTACGACTTCCGACTTAAGTCCTACGACGGAATTGTAAACGGTTACGACAATCTTTCTGCTGAGGCCCTTATGAGGCCTGTTATACAATTCGTATGTCGCTGTCGAATGTCGGTACGTAGCCGATGATCCAATGAGAAAACTAATTTTTTTAATAGACATTCGACAACGACGTATTGTATAACATTGTTTTACGTGGCCTAGTTTACATCGTGCACTTGATACGCGTATCAAATAGTGTATTTGAACTGATCAGCCAATGACCAAACGAATTTACTAGTTATTTACTATTTGTTACTATTTGATACGCGTATCAAGTGCACGATGTAAACTAGGTCAATATGAGGCTGGTATTACATTTGTCGTACGACAAGTTGTTCAAGTGTGTTGGTTGGCTGCAGGATAGAAAACTTCTCGAGTATCTAGAAATTTTCTGGCTTGTAGTCAATCAACACGCTTGAAAAATTTGTCGTACGAGAAATGTAAGGGCCTGAGCAGAATAGCTGTCTTGTATTCTTACGGCCTGAGCAAATTGGCTGTCTTGTACTCTTAAAACAATGTTTTGTTTTAAATCTTTGTCTTAAATGTATAAGACAGCCATTCTGCTCAGGTCCTAATAGTAAACAGTGGTACCGACGGTGATACTAAAGTGAAGACCGGTGCAGTACAATATACATAATTTTTATGCGTCTTGTATAAAAGTTCACGTGACCGCTGAAAGAACAACGGCAAAAAATGCCTGTTTTTTTGGTCCTAGATTTTTCAAATAAATTTTATACCAAACGATAGCTCGTGATAAGACATTAATCACATAAAAATTTTACGATGAGCATACGATTGGCTTCGGAGATATAGAGGGTCAAAGTGGTTATCACCTACTAAGAAAGTATGACACTGTCGACACTATAGCTTGAATTTTCGTTGAATTTTTTCGAAACTCAGTACCTATGGGTTCTTTGAGTTGCTGATTATGAATCTGATGTCAGATTTTATAAAATTTATTTGTAAAATCGAGGACCGAAAAACGGGCATTTTTTGCACCCTTTTGGCAGTTGTCCTTTAGCTGCTAAAGTTTAGCCGGCCAACTCGTAAGATGATGTTAATCTGACGATTTAGTGTTTTTTAAATATTCTTATTATTAATTATATTATATGTATGATATGATACCTGGAATTCGATAGTATTTAATTTTTATTTAAAACTGCATTTTCACTGTTACCATCCGGATAAGCAGCTTTTTCTGATAAACGCAGTCATTGACAATATCGAAAAGTGGATGTAGCACGGACACGCACCAAAAAGTGATATTTATCGACTGTGTCGATAAGTAGATGTGTCTCCGTAGTTCTCACATCCACTTTTGGTGGCGAAAATCGGTCCCAAGTAAACCCCGCTCTCTATTAGCGAATTCGGTTGCTTGCACTGGTGCGCACTGAGTGCGCACTAAGGCTTGTTTACAGTCAATTCTTATATTTCCGAAGCGTCTTAAATATTCTTGAAATATTTCGTAGCCAGTAAAACGATCTGTATAGCATCCATACGGATTGTTTTCTGGCTAAATCGCTTTGAACATGCATTTAAGACAAAGTTAAGTATAAAAATTGACTGTAAACTGGCCTTGGTGTGCACTCGGTACGCACTAGTGCAAGCAACCGAATTCGCTATTAGATAGAAGTCTATGCTCCCACCACTCTTGCTCCATTTTCGTTGCCACACCACAGTCAAGAGTGTGTGTGGGAGAGGGGAATCACTCGCTTGTGTGCTGTGCGCATAGAGCTATTACAGATAGAGGGAGGGAGTCAACGAAGGACGCGATATAGCCGTAGAAAGAGAACGCTGCAATAGAGGCCGGTGTGTCATTGTCTCATAGCGCATGCGTATTAGGTACTGCGTGCGCCTAACTGCACTAGTTCAGAATGTATCTTTCTCTTTCCACATGCTTTTATAAGAAAGAAAGAGACACACTCTGCCTACAAGCGCACACGTTACGCGCATGCGCGTGACTGTTAGACAGTGACACATCGGCCTCTATTGCAACGTTCTCTTTTTATCCCACTATCGCATGCGCTTACACGTCGTCCCATACCTACTTCCCTCTATCTGTAATAGCTCTATGGCTGTGCGCCTCACATTGCTGCAGATCAGTGTTCCG